TCGAGGCATTTAAATGAAATAATAATAAAAACGAAGGAATATTAATATACAACCCAGTGTGTCTGAAGATTTTAATTCTTGAATTTTTTAATATTTTTATTGTTCAATATATATATATATATATATATATATATAGATAGATAGATAGATAGATAGATAGATAGATAGATAGATAGATAAAATTAGTCGTAAATATACACATACATATGCAAAATATATAAATATATATACGTAGATGCATACACATACATATATATTTTTTGAATAAAAATTCCAATGGGATAGAATCCAGGTAGAACTCAATGTCCAGGACAGAGTAAGGATATAATAAAAAGGCTTAAACACTAATATTCCATGGTCATAATTTATTCCATTGGAATCGTAAATACGATCCATTTCATCAGACCTACAAATTCAAAAAGAAAACAGAAAAAAGCAACTCCGGAAATAAAAATAGAATTTGGAGAGAGTGTAAGTATGAGAGTGTGGGACGAATGTTTGAGCTAAAGAGAGGGGTAACAGACGAGAGACGGTGGGAGATTAAAACTTAACAGAGAGGAATTTTTAGAGAGGTGAGCTGAAGACGGTTTAAGTGAGAGAAATATGATTATAAATATGATAATACATTAAAGATGTAACCGGAAAGGATACATTTTGTGGTACCATACACACACACAATATAGACGATCTAATTTTAAAGATCAGAAGAAAAGGGAGGAGGAGATGAAAAGAAAAGAAAAAGGTATATACATACATATATATATATATATATATAGGTAACACACACACACACACACACACACACACACATATATATATATATATATATATATATATATATATATATATATATATATATATATATATGTATATATATATATATGCGTATGTATAGCAGCCAATTATCACAGAACCAGAAATCCGTGATCTACTAATGGCTGAATATATAAAAGACAGACATGATAAAAGGAATCATTCATCTAAACTCCTAAATAAATTACTAAAGATTTCTGCAAAAGAATTATGCAACCATTCTGAAATAGATATTAAGAAAGCTGATAAAACAAACTTCTTTGTTGTTTTATAAAGTCTGACTACAACTCAAAAATGGAACAGTTACTTGACAATCAGGCCAAATTTAAAAGACTTACTAGTAATCCTACTACTTAGCTAAAAGTGAAAATTAATAAATTAATCACAGCTAACAATGCGAAACAAAACAATTAAAAACTTATCAAAATAATCAGAGACTTCAAACCAGGATACATTTACGGTTCTATCAAAAGACACAAACCTTAATTTCCACTAAACCCTATTATGTCCCAAATTCTCCCTCCTGTCTACCAACTAATTAAAACGCTTAACCAATTAATTACACCATACATACCTAAAAATACAGCATTAAATCAACCCTTGATCGTATACAAATTTTAAAAACCGATAACCATAATAATTACACCATAGCAACACTTGACGTTGAAAACCTGTTCACTAACGTTCCAGTTAGAGAAACCATTGACATTATTATTAAAATATATATATATATATATATATAACAATTCATCTTTCTTCCCATTAGAAATTAAACTTAAAATAATAAGAAAATTACTTTTAACCTGTACCATTCTATGATCACTAACATGTATGTGCGAAGAGACGGTGTTTCTATGGGTTCAGCACTGGGCCCAATCTTCAGCAACTTCTAAATGGCTAACCTAGGAAATAATATATTTAGCACCAACAAGAAACCCTCATCTAAACATATATAGATGATATTCTCATTTTAGTTAAAAACCTGGACGAAATACTTGAACTCCAAAATACTTCCCCAAAACTCCGTCTTCAGGTTTACATACGAACTTAACAAAGATAACAAAACCCCTTTCCTTGGCATTTTAATAGACAAAAATAATAACACATTTTCTACCTCTCCATATATAAAAATCAACCAGCAAAAACTCTTGTGCTGTCAACTATAAGAGTGAATGTCCTAATTACTATAACATAGCACTTAGACAGAATTTAATTAACCGAGCGCCAATTAATTCCTCCACATAAAAGATTTTCTACAATGAACTAAAAAGTATTAAGAAGCCTCTCATTAATAATGACTTCCCAAGCCACGTTGTAGATTAACAAATAAGACGATTTATCAAAAACCTCAACACACGTCAAATAGAACATGGTACTTCCCCAAAGGACACTAAATATATAAAATTTTTATATTGTAACCAGATGCATGCTAACTATAAACAGGATGAGAAAATCATAAAACCCTCATTAATGCTAACATATCCCCCACAGATCCCAATAAAAAATAGAATTAATTATATATTATAAAAATACAATACAACCAATTTAATTATTCGCAATAACGCCTCCTCACCAACTGATGTATTACGTAAAACTAACATTATATATCAATTCAAAAGTCCCTTGGGAGACTGACAGAAAAGACAAATATATATGTTGAATAAACAACTACATTATCAAGACGTCTTACTCTACACATGTTGGCCATTCGTCCATTATAAGACATTTGCACCAACATTCCTCTTCATATTCACAGTATAGGAAAATACTGATTGATAACGCAACTCTCCTACACCAAGAAAATAACAAATCAAAACTACAAATCCTCAAAGCAATCTTCATTTCAAAAAAATTGAAGCATACACTAAATAGAATCAGCTACGAATGCTGTAATAATGTTCTAAAATGTCTATAAAAAGAACATAAAAGAAAAACATTCTATAATGGATAAATATTCACGTTCTAGTAAGCGCTAAAGCATAACTGTAAGCCATAGCAATTAAACGCAAATGAAAAGAATTCAGTAATGGATAGCTACATATAGTTTTTGCATTACCAGTTGAAGCCCTGATAATGATCTCAGAAAGAGATGTAAATTACTTGTTTTGGTTTGATTTGTTTTGTTTTATGGCATATCAACCTCAATGGGTTATTTAATACTGACATCTTTTTTTTCTTTCCTGTTATTATTTTTGTTTTGTCAAAAATCTATTTCTGTTAATATTTTTTCCTCAAAAATGTATAGTAATCTGGTAATATTATTTTTTCAAAAATGTATTGCTGGTAATATTATTTTTTCAAAAATGTATTGCTGGTAATATTATTTTTTCAAAAACGTATTGCTGGTAATTTTTTTTTTTTTTAAACGTATTGCTGGTAATAGTTTTTTTTTTTTTTTCAAAAACGTATTGCTGGTAATATTTTTTTTCTTCAAAAATTTATTTCTGGTAATAATTTTTCACAAAGTATTTCCCAGTATTAAAACCTATTTTTACACTTTTATAATGCTTTTTACCTCATTTTCGGGATTAACTATTTGCCCATAGCTGGGACCCTAACAGGTGCTACCACCCTGGGTCAGGATGGACCTGGGAACACCAGCAATTAAGAGAAGGTTCCACGCTCCTCAAAGCCTCCTGATCAGAGGCCTTGCTTTTGGATGCAGTTTATCGTCTTACCCTGGACGCGGATGTAGTTTATCGTCATAGTCAGGACGAGAAATTACTTGGGAAATAAAAGTGATTCTTACTGGAAGAGTGCGTTTCTTGTCTTATTTAATTGTAATATACGGAAAAATATTCGTGAATATGAAAGGATTATGATCAAAATAAGCAGACATGACATTTGTAATTTATTCAATCAGACATGCCTAAAAGAGAATTTGATGCCTAAATACACAAATAAATATATATGCGTGTGTATGTGTGAAAAACGATATATGAATTTTTATATATAATTGCTAATTAATTAAAAGACATAGCAATTTACTAAAACGAAAATGTATATAAAGTGTTTTAATTACTAGATCGTCCGCAGTAAATTTACGTACAGATTTTGACATTTCGCCTTTTTTAGCAGATCTATTATCACAATGTAACATATTTAATAACAAAAGTGATGGAAACATGAACAAAAAGAAACGAAATGAAATCGGCTAAACAGATATTTTTTTTAATAAGTTTAAATTAATAATTTCAGCGTCCTCACTCCTTCATGCGCATATGTAATCACATCAATCTAAACATCACTTTAGTCCGATGAAACTCACCATCGTTGATTTGGCATTCGGAGGAATGTGTGTTGTACCGAGGCTGGCCTAACAAGGGGTTTAAGGCGCGCTAGGAAATGCGATTGTTGCCGGGAGCCCAGCGGAAATTGTCGTAGTCCAAGCCGGGGAAAACTCACTCAAACAGACGAGGAGCAGTCGTGGCCAGAAGACCAGGTATACTACTTCTCAGTCGTGGTCGAAAGTCGAACATAGTACGTCGCATGGGTCGTAAGTCTGTAAATCTGTTAACAGCGTAGATCAGAAATAATGAAAAACCTTTCAGCGAGACTCGAACTTATGTACCTCCTTTTTTGATGTGATCAGAGTGGATGGAGGTGATTCCAGCGTGAAGAACCTTTGGAATGTGCCTGAAAAGCATACTGTATGCCTAGGGAGTGAAATTGGTTGGATGAAACGTATTAGCACGAAGTCACAACTCATTGTGACCGAGGGTTTGTGTGTACTGGTTTTGTTAAAACTGTTCATCAGACCAGATGATACATTCTCTGCCTGAAACTTTAACTAAGATCCGCTCAGAGTAAACACTAGAAAACTCTTTTGGTGTCAAATAAACATATATATGCCAAAGCAGGTGTCTGGAACAGAGACAGCCACCCTAGCAGATAGGTTTGATCGAAAAATGATTAAACGGTATTATTATCATTATTATTATTATTATTATTATTATTAGATAGATAGATAGATAGATAGATAGATAGATAGATAGATAGATAGATAGATACGGGCAGACTGAGACAATCAGATAATTAGATAGTTACATACATACATACATACATATGAGTAGACCTATGTAGATAGATAAATGCGAACAGACTGAGACAAATAGTTAGATAGATATGAACGGTTAGACAGATAGATAGATAGATAGATAGATAGATAGATAGATAGATATGAACGGTCAGATAGATAGATATAAACGGTCAGATAGATAGATAGATAGATAGATAGATAGATAGATAGATAGATACGAAAAGATTGTGATAGATAGATAGATAGATAGATAGATAGATAGATAGATAGATAGATATGAACGATCAGATAGATAGATAGATAGATAGATAGATAGATAGATAGATAGATATGGACGGCCAGATAGATAGATAGATAGATAGATAGATAGATAGATAGATAGATAGATATGAACGGTCAGATAGATAGATATAACGGAGGTAAGATTTGCTCTGAGAGATCAAACAGGAGGTCCATTCATAACGGGAATGCTCGATATGTTGAAACCAACTTTGAAAAACTTTACACAATAACATTTGAAACGAAATATTAACCTCACTTTCGTTTTTATTTCACCCGCATACACTACCGGCCATAAAATGGCGTCTTATGTAAACAAGCTGAGCTCAATTCATCGCTTTCAAAAAAAAAAAAGAAAAAAAAAAGAAAGAAGAAAAAGTAACTCTCTTTTATCATCCTCATACTAACAATCGCTTTGTTCCCCGAAGGAAAGTGAAGCTAATCACTATCAATGAACCCCGTATATACATACACGTATATTATATTACAATATATGTTTGTATACAGAGGTCATTGATATATATATATATATATATATATATATATATATATATATATATATATATTCAGTTGTGTTAGCTCGATCACTGATATTGAGCGCTTTCTAATACGTACCGCACATATATAATGCATATAGAAATTATATATATATATATATATATATATATATATATATATATATATATATATATATATATATATATATATCTGTTCTTCTCGTCTGTTACCCTTTCTATAGCTTTCTTTTACCCTTACAGCTGTCCCACACTCTCATACATACACTCTCACTAAATTTTATTTTTTATTCCCGGAGTTGTTTTCTTTTGGAATTTGTAGGTCTGATGAATTGGATCGTATTTACGATTCCAATGGAATAAATTATGACCATGGAATATTAGTGTCTAAGCCTTTTTTATTATATCCTTACTCTGTCCTAGACATTGAGTTCTACCTGGATTCTATCCTCTTGGGATTATTTTTTATACAAATATATATGTATGTGTATGTATGTATGTATATTTATATGTTTTAGATATATGATTGCATATGTATGTGTATTTTACCACCACCATTATTATATATATATATATATATATATATATATATATATATATATATATTTTGGTTGGATAGATGTGAGTTTGTGACCCTGGGTTTCACGCTTTAGCGGATCGTCAGACAAACCCCATTCACTTTTCACATATATATATATATATATATATATATATATATATATACATATATATATATATATATATATATATATATATATATATATATATATATATATATATATATATATATAGATAATAAAATAAGGGGTATTTGAGATAATTCTAATTAAGGAATTCATCGAGTCTGAAAGAAACCTCAACAGAATGCAGAAAGCACTGGACGGCCGTTTCGTCCTAGATTTGGGACTCATCAGCAGTGCGCATCCACTACCGAGAATTGAAACCCGGACAGTTTCGATATGAGGCAAACGTCATACCAACTGTATCAACGGCGTCGGTGACGAAGAGATAACAAATTATTTTCGATGACACACTCCTATGGGTAAAGGAAACTCGGATGAGTTCCACTACGGATTATGTGAACGAGTGGCGAAATATCGAGTCTAATTCGTTGTCTCTTCGCCACCGAGGACCGTAAATATATTTGTAAATATATATATGTAAAAAAAATATTTCAGAAGATTAATGTTTTGTATTAAGCATAAAGGGAGATTACTGGTTCATTTTTTAAAAAAATAAACAAAATATAATTTGCATTAAAAATTAATCTGGATCAACGTATTTCAGCAGATATGCCTACATGTAACCATCAATTCTTTTCTCTTGTTTAATAAGATAGGGTTATTTATGTATTTTAAGATAACTAATTTTTCAGCAAGGCATAAATTACATCTATCACTTTTCCCATTGTAAGTTTTGGTTTTGGCTACAATATCCCACGTAATAATGTCGAAAATTCCTTTAGACTCTGAGGGTAGCTAGAAGCCAGTCCGGTACAGTAAATATTGCGAAACACTGCCTATCTCGCGACCCAAATCCAAACAAGAATCAGTTATCTATGTTAGAAGAATAGAGCTCGCTGAACGACTCTGTTCTCACAAGTCCTTCTCACAAAGGAAAAAGAAGGAAGGCAGGCCTTAAGTTACAAGTAGGCAGACCTGCGCATTCCACCCCTTCCGGTAAAACGATTACAATAACCAGGGTTCGGAACGGCCTCGTTTTGGAAAATCAGCATGGCAAACAATCCGCCTTCAACGTCTGACCGCAACCCACACACAGGTCATTTCATTTATTTTTCTACAATAATGGGTGTATTATAACCATTCTTCAATTGCCAGAAATGTGTAGAGAGATCAGTGTTGTTTATGTATTTTATTTTACCTTAAGTCGTTCAACGATGATAGAATCAAAATTTCCAAGGATTTTCAATGGAACTAAAACAGAATTTGACATCGTTACCGGAATTTATGCTAGCTCGGTATACAATATTAGCCGTTTAAGGGACAGGTGGTATTTTGGGGGCAGTTGCATTTATTTATTTTTTTAATTAACCTTGTTGTCTTCGTTGGATATCCACAGTTTTAATATAATATTGTTATCTTGTGATAAAAATCTATCGATGTTACTAACGCAGCTATAATTGATCTTAATATTATTTTTTGTTAAAAATCTTTTTTTTACTGTTGGTGAATTATTAAAGTACCGTAAATTCTCGAAAATAATACGCATTTTTTACTGTAGATTACAGGTGATAATAGGGGTGCGTATTATAAACAGGTTTAAACAAAAATATTTTTTTTCGTTATTGTTTTATAATATGGAATACGTACTTGTTCTAAAATAAGAAAGATATTATCCCAATTTTCATTTTAAATCCAACAATAATTGTAACATTTTGGGGGGTCTATGGATGTTCTTCTAATAGATATATCAAACTTCTTCATAAAAAGAAGACAACAGTTTGCTGAAGTTTTGCATTTATCCTTATTTCCACAGTATTTATGGAACATCCACTTGATCGTCTTTCTTTTATAAATTCATCTAAACTTTGTTCCATATTTGGTTATTGAGATGTTCTTCCTCTAACTATAGCTTTGGTGCTTGCTTTACACATTTTTACTTCATTTTTATTCTTTCTCCATAAATGTATGTTAGCCTCATTCAACTCATATTCTCAAATTCTAAATGCTAATTCTCTGACATTTTGTTTAAAATTCCCGCCTTAACTCGCACGTTTTGACGACATTTTGGCGGTAAAATAAAATGTTATATTTATCGAGAAAACCGCAGGGTAATTTCCAACATTATTTTCGCCACAAAGTTTCGATTTTATTCTTAATGTCAAGGTCGACGAAATGTCTTCGTAAGTATTATTATTTTTTTATTTGACTGTTTCGACATTGAAAGGGTGGGACTAAGATACTAACCTAGTAGCACGCTTAAATTCATGCAGTTTGGGAACTAACGAAAATCGCTCGTCAAACTTATCTATGAGGCGAAAAATGGTAAGTCGCTTTCGTGGATCTCTGTGAATCTGTCTTTGCATATTTTTTTTTATGTTTTTTGTAGAGTTTTTCTTCCTTCGAAAGTTAGTCGTACTCCTGTCGTTATTAAGGTGCATTTGATCTGAAAATAGAAAAAAATCAAGAATTTATAGGAAGTCAAAAGTTGAGTACATTTTTAAGGGATTAGAAATATTTACTAAGAAATAAGGGAGAACAACTCTGTAATTAATTAAACTTTAATTCTATTTAAAATTAATTAAACTTTAATTCTAATTAAAATTAATTAAACTTTAATTCTATTTAAAATTAATTAAACTTTAATTCTAATTAAAATTAATTAAACTTTAATTCTATTTAAAATTAATTAAACTTTAATTCTATTTAAAATTTCAATTAGGCTTGAATTTCACTTCTATAAATCCCTAAACAACAAGTGACGATTGTTGAGATTTTTTCTTTATTTTATCTTTTTAAACTCAGGACGGAAAACGCAACACTGAGATCCAAAGACGTATTGGGATAACCAAATATGCCTTCCAAAAGCTAAGCAGAGTATTAAGAGACAGAAAAAAAACTTCGTTAAAAAACAAAGAGTGCTGAACTGTTACGTGATATCGGTCTTCCTATAGGGCAGTAAATGCTGGATAATCTCCTTAAAGATGAAGAAGAAACTTAAAGCAACAGAAATTGTGGTTCTACAGAAGGATGCTGACGATATCATGGACTGAACATGTAAGCAGATTTTAGAGAAAATAGAAACAAAAAGGAAAATTTTTGCTTAACACAAGGAAGAAGCAGTTGAAGGCGTGTTCGAAAATCCCGATTTTTAACATCTTACACTTAATGTTTCTATTTGGCCAAAAGGCATTTCTCTCTCATTTCTTTCATCGGCCTACTATAGCTAAATATTATAAGGCATATACGTAGGCAAATTTTACTTTATTATATATATATATATATATATATATATATATATATATATATATATATATATATATATATATATATATATAGGCTTATAGCCACTTCACGTTGAAGCATTGGATGAGGTAAAAAAAAAATTACGTGTAGTAACAGATACCCACGACTATAGAGATAATACACAACTATTCTGTAAATCACCTGGATAGACACTGATATCTCAAAAAGCCTTCCGTCGGGGCAGATCTCCAGAGATCAATGAGCAACTAGGCGAAACTCTTGCTGAAGGTCGATGTCGACCAGAATGTGGTGACTCATAGCCTTTTCCGTCATTTCCGACCAGTGATGACCATGTTCACTGTCATAAGTTGGACATTAAGTTTTTCTGCAGTTCTGCACTGACTTCCGCCATCTTCTGATTATGCAACAAAAAAGTGTCAGTTCTTCTGACTCTTTTGCTCTAGGCATTGTTGTGTAGAGTAAGACAATCATTTCTGAAAATAAACTATAGTGATTAAGAAGTGTCGGACACTGATTCCTTATGAAGTAAAAAGATGAAAATACAAACATTGGTTGTACATGAATATGCATATATTTCCATTTAAACGTAGTCAGAGTTATATATATATATATATATATATATATATATATATATATATATATATATATGAAGAAATATAGTCTTAAAGTGTGCTATATTTATGAGATAAAGTGCTCAATATCAGAGATAGAGCGTGTGTAATTATATAAGTGAACATTGAAGTCTGCAGTTAGCAATCGACAGGCTATATCATGTTAGACGCAATCGTCGATAGCGTGTCGCCTATAACATGTTGACTTCAATGTTCACTATATATATATATATATATATATATATATATATATATATATTCATATAGGCTCTACTTATGTATTGAGCCCTGTTTTGTTTTTTTAAATAAAAACAAAATACTAAAGAACCTCAGATTATTAACCTAACGCGTTCTTTCCTATTTTTCTATATATTTGCACACACACACACACACACACACACACCTACACACACACACACACACATATATATATATATATATATTTATATATATATACAAAATGTTATCATATAACAAAAATATTACATTGTATAACAAAATTTTTATTATATATATATATATATATATATATATATATATATATATATATATCGAGGTAAATGAGTACAAACGGAGTAGGATTCTACTGTAACTAACATTTAATTTGAAAGTGGGCTAAATACAGAGTAGAGCTAAATATTATTTATTTAAGGATATTAAAACATGTCAAAAATCACTACACAATTACAATTATCTTTCGACACCATAAATGTGTTTTTTCAGGCTATGTTAAACTACTGTCGAGAAATTCATCTTCCACTCGCCAGTAGTTTAACATCGCCTGAAGAGACACATTTATTGTGTCGAAACATAATTATAATTGTGCAGCAATTTTTGACATGTCTTAATATTCTTAAATAAATTATATATATATATATATATATATATATATATATATATATATATATATTAAGAAATTTATGACCATGTGTAAAAAGGGATGTTTACGTTGGTGTAACTACGCATGCGTACGAAGGAGAAATGTCGCTGAAATTTAGATATCTGTTTGTGTATATACCCTACCAAATTTCATTTAGCTTCTTTTTCAATTTTTGTTTTTATATATATCACTTTTTTTTCTGACTATAGAATTTTGTCGTAAGAATCGTTGAAAAACCCTTTGACTTATTCACCTAAAAAGAGAATAGGCTAAAATTATTTTGTCAAATGAGCAAAGGGAAAAGGCCTTCAGTAATGGTACCAAGATTCCTACTCTGGCTTCCATCTTCAACGTGCATTCAATAATCATCAAGAAACGGTGAATAAGTTTTAAAAAGAGGGAAGAGTAGAGAGGAAAACTGTATTAGAAGATCACAACAACAAGAGTGATCATTATTTCAACTTAGCGCTAAAGAGATCAATTAGAAAAGATCCAAATCAATCCATAAGACGTTTGGTAAGTGAGAGAAGAGTTTCAGCTATGACATCCCAAAGAGCAGTGAAAAAGAGTTGAAAATGAAATTGTGCATGAAACCTGTGAGTCACCTTGTTATTCCAGGACCGAAAGTCAGAAGGTTAGAGGGGGCAAATATCATCTTGAATAAACCTGAAAATGATCATGGAATAATAAAGATATATCTGAACTTTATTTCAATACTTCATTAGCTTCCAATCCTTGGCTATGATTGCATCCTTATGCAAATTAATTGAAACAACGCTTTAGTTTCCTTTCTTTCAACATACGGTCAGTTTTAGACCCACTGGAGTAACAGGGTGTATTCGATTTATATTTTTTTTTCCTCAGATTAGGTCATTTGCAGTGGTGTACAATAAAATGAATCTATTTTCGGGATCTATGATGAAATTTGCTTGGCCTTGAAAAATATTGTGTCATCTGTGATTGCAACAGACTTTTATCCCGCCCAGACACTACTGTCTCAACTGTCGATTAGTTGTCCTACGGCTATTGTCTGCGATGGGGTTGGACTTTGGGGGCTTACAGTACCAGGTGTTCCCAAGCGGTCCCCCATCTAAGTACTGACCTGGCTCTACGCCGCTTAACTTCGGTGATCGTACGAGAACCGGTGTTTCAGCGTGAAAGTCCAACCCATACCTCACAGTCGGTGGGGGGGTTGTAAACGGTAGTGTCAGAGCTATGCCGCCCGGAACTTCGTTCCTGGTAGGGCCACCCAAGGCAGACAGGTCTGACACACACGCCGGCTAACAAGGGCTCTGGTGAAAATCCAAGGAGCGTCTGCATCGGTAACCGGCGGCTTCTGGTCGTTCCTGTCTCTGCGTCTGTGGGAACCCCGCGGCAAGCAAGAACGTTATCCGAGTAGGCCTGGGTACCCTACTTCTGTAATTTATCCCAAGAATCTTCATCTCATAACAGGAAGAAGCCGGCTCAATCCGCCCAGGGTGAATGCCGCATCAGTACAGTAGTATTGTCTGCGATGGACGTTGCTCCAAGATAGAGTATGAAAATTGTAACTCTGCCCGAACACATTGGAAAGCCTTACAGAGAGATCACGGATATTGTTGGTGTCAACCTTTTGACTATCTGTCGAGTCATGAAGGTGAAGAAACAAACTGGGTCAATCAGTCCAAAATGTAAAGGTGGTCGGAAAAGAAAATCAAAGCCAAGGGATGACGTATACGTGGTCAGGGAGAGTTTGAAAGAAGAAGACACGTGACGCCATAAAAAGACACGTGGCACCATTTGCATGTGAAAGGGATAAATATCCACTCTCTCAACGGTCAGGCGAAGTCTTCTGACTGTTGGATGCTTTCCGTTATAGTTATTTTCAAATATTAAAATTTTATCCGTTGTAGTCATGGAACATTCTACAAAACAAGCGTTTCCCTATAAGGGGCCTGACCGGGAATAAATGTAAAATGGCATTAGTATATAAATATGCATTTTAATACACCCTTGTGCAAATTGATTGGAAAAAATCGCTTTAGTTTCCTTTATTTCACCATATGGACAGTTTTAGAATCACCGAAATGACAGTGTGTAATCGTTATTCGGGCTATTGTCCTCATCTTTGTCGCCATATTTATCGCAACGTTTCGCCACATCACAATATCTCGAAACACCGGTCCCCGTACGATCAGCAAGGTTAAGCAATGTCAAAAGTGGTCAGTGTCTAGATGGGTGACCACTTGGGTATACCAGGAGGTGTAAGCTTGAATGTGCGTCTGGGGTAAGGGATAATGGCTCGGAATTGTTAATCGGAGAGCTGAGTTGCAATCCCAGTTGGGTTCCTTATATTCATTTACAAGCAAATCCTCCTGGGAAAGTATGACTTTTACTTCAGCTATGGATTAAGTTTTAGGTCTCGTGTCACTAAACCATTATTATCTGAAAAAATTCTTACAATCTAAAGACAAAATCTTTTCTGATTTAAATAACCTGTAAAGGGGTGATAAACCGTAAATAACAATTGTCTATATTTCTGAGATGTGTTATTATGTACACTATGTACATTAATCGGACTATTGTCCTCATCTTTGTCGTCATATTTATTACAACGTTTCGGCCGTTGTACGCTCCGGACTTTTTCAGGTGGTTGGAATGTCGAACTGAACCCTTTATTTCGCTCACTGGGGTAGACTGTTCTAGTTCCACGTGCCATGTCTAATGGATGTCACTTATCAGTTATCTCCTGTTAATTCCCTCTCCAACTTCTCCACTGCCTTAATAGGGTACTGAACTCACATTCTTTGGGTACTGTCACTGGATCTAACCAACGCCTTTATCCACAGTGCCATGTGACCTTGAGGCACAGTGGATAAAGGCGTGCGTACAACGGCCGAAACGTTGTGATAAATATGGTAAAGAAGATGAGGACAATAGTCCGAATAATGTAAATAGTGTACATAATACCTCATCCCAGAAATACTGACAGATACTGAAGAGTGTAATGCATTTCTATTTATTCCTCAGATTAGGTCATTTGTAGTTGTGTGCAGTAATATCATTCGGTTTCCTAATGGATCCAGTATTTTTCAGCAAATCCCGTGACATACCTCAAAATTTGTAAAAGGATTTTTTACCAGTGAGCAAATCAAATCAAATTACAATGGCCTGGAAATTCTACTGATTTAAATCCAATCGAGAATCTGGAATCAATCTGAAGGACTTCTTGGAATGAACTGTACAACGAAAGAGATACTCGTGACAGCCATTATAGGCAGCTTCAAATTAGTGGATTCCATACCAAATCGCATCAAAGACCTTCTAAAAAAAATAAAGGCGGGCGTACGAAATACTAACATGTGCACTGAGTCATGTTTCATTGGAAAAATACGAAAAAACGTAAATAATAACGGATTTATAGAAATTCATGATGAAATCATTTTCTGATCAAAATTCATTGTCAAAGAATGCACTAAAATAATGATTGTAAATTTTTTTACTATACGAATTAAGTCGAAACGATTTTACTATAAGAATGTATTATACATAATTTAACTACAGAAATGCATTGGAAATGATTTTACTATAAGACTGTATAATACAAAAAAAAACCCTAAATAATAACGGATTTACTCGTTTTGCTTCAATTAATTTGCACAAGGCTGTAATTAATGGTAAATATGTCATTTTCGGTTATGATCAATTTTATCATGGCAGTTATGTTAATATTAGAGAGTAATTATACATTCTTATTGCTCAAAGTCCAATAGTGTTCTAAAACCTCAGTGAATTCCAGTAAGATACCTTTAATCACTTTTATGATACAATGGCTCAAAGCTTAATCTAACAATTGGACAATTTTACTGTTAAATCCGGTAATACACACACATACACGCAAACGCAAACACACACACACATACATACACACACACACACACACACACACACACACATATATATATATATATATATATATAAAGACATTTTTATGTTTATACATTCTTTTTTATAGATACAAATATTAAAGTAAATGCTGTTTATAATAAACAGAATTAACAACATTTACCGGCCTGAATGTCCAAGAAATTTTCATAGAAAATATGCGTCCTCCGACAGGAATCGAACCTGTATCCTATACGGAACCCTCATAAAACCTGACGTGCTTTTACCAATTTGGCCACAGACGAGCGTTTCGGTTAGCAAGATCGATTTTACTGCTTTTAAACTACAATCTTCCATGATGATTCTCTCACGTACTTTGATATCTGCTCGACGTGTATCCAAATGTAAACAAATCACGTCACACATTATGAAATGGACAAAGTCCGACAATTATTTTAAAGCATTTTATGTTTATATATATATATATATATATATATATATATATATATATATATATATATTTTACCTATATATATATATATATATATATATATATATATATATATATATATATATATATATATATATATAGGTAAAAATACGTGAGAAAAATAATCAAGTGAATCCTATTAATATAAAATATTAAAACTGATCCACAAAAGAGAGCTCAATATATCTATTATAGAGCATAGAAATGAAGTACATAAAATTAAAATCAATTGTAGCCTATTTTTTTATGGTCATTTCGCTCCTCAGGATAAATTCTTTTTGAGTATATCAATAATAAAACGTTTGAGTATTGATAAGTTTCAGGAATTTCCGAGGATGAAAATGGTATAAAATGGGGTACAATTGACTTACATTTTTATGTAATTCATATTATATATATATTCATATATATATATATATATATATATATATATATATATATATATATATATATATTATTGGCTATAAGTTTTTGATTACAGCAATTTTGGCTTGTGTCATAACGTCTCTTTTTTTTTTTTCAGTCAATACTGTGTTAGTATCAAGCTACTCTTATCTATGTTCAATAGTTGACTTATATTTTGTAATGAAAATTCGTGGAAGTAAGGAAATTGGTGAATTTCAATGAAGGCAAATAATAGGATGGCATCATTGTGACAAGTTAAATAGAAATCAGAATGAGACTTGGAACACTGAATTTCAACAGGCGACCGTGAAACAGGGAGGGATTGGAATAATGGTGTTGGGCGCTATCTGGTATGGAGGGAAATCTGAGCTGATTCTTGTTGATGAGCAGTTGAATGGTCCAAAATACTGTCAAATATTAGAGAAAGGACTACTCCCACAATTTGAAACCAATCAGATTGACAAGTATGTCTACCTTTATCAAGAAGATGCAGCGCCATGTCATACGAGCAAAGATGCAAAAGCCTGGAAGGAATCGCATGGGTACCCAAAGTCCTGATATGAATCCAATACAGCACGTTTGGGTACACCTTGACCGAAAATTTGGAGAGCGTGCAACCAAAATCACGTCAGTGGCAACCCTTAAAGGAACATTGCAAAAGGAATGGTAAAATATGGATCAGACGATTGTTGGTAACTTGATCAATGCATAAAAAAATCGAATATAAGTACTGAAAGTAGCAAATGAAAGCCTTATTCCATACTAGTTCCAAATACTGTTTATTTATGTTGAGTTGGGATTGCGTAATTAAATTTTGAAATTGGATGTATTTTATTTCTCCTGGCTAAAAACTTTTCTTAGGCCATTGTATACTAATTTTCCAAACGTAGCTTAGATGTGGCACAAGGCCGAAAGTAGGGGGTATCCAATGAGGACCAAACTCACTGCTCAGTCGTAATTGTTCTAACGAGACAAGCTTGCTAACCATTACACCTCAGTACCCTAATATATATATATATATATATATATATATATATATATATATATATATATATATATATATATATATAAAAAAAAAAGTGTCCTCTCAGTTTAACTATAGATCAGTCGAAGGAAGGATAGCCTCTTTCAAAATATTAACATAAAATATACGCAAACATTTTCAGCTGGAATTCGAACCCGGTTCACCGATTCCTTTTTCTATTATATTTACCAACTGCGGCACCTTTATTTCCATCGTTGTATTTATTAAGATTCAATTAACCTTTATAATCAGTAAAAAAATCTTCCTTGAATATATTCTAGTTTTCTTTGCATTTTATTACTTATGAGGATGGTCTTGCCATGTCCATAATGCAGAGTTTATTCTATCTCGACAGCTTATTATACAAACAATACCGAGAATGTAGACATTTTTAAGCAAATGTTTAGGTTATACATTTCAACCAATGTGTAGTAAATAAGTTCAACCGTGAGATTGTGACCGTGTTGGTATGACTTTCATAAAACAGGTTCCTATAGAATGAAAATAACAAGAGAAAAGATAAAATTACCAAGACTTTATTTGGTATGATGATTACTGTAAAAATAAAGATGGTTCTTTTTAAGAAGTTCTTCTTCATTTTTTCGAATATCTTCCCACTGGAAGATGCTGTTGCTTTCTAGTCGTATGACGCAACGATTTCTGCGTATCTACGCAGGTGGAAATTTAACAAACGAAGAGATATCTCGAAGCGAAAAAAGCAAGAATATTTTAAAGTAAATAAAAGCAGCTCTTTTTGCTATGTTATTTTATTTTTCAAATTAGCGAACGGCCATTTAAAAAATTCTTCCACAAAGGAGAAACGAACACTTAAATATTTTTCTTTGTTGTTTTTTGTTATATTTTTTTTATGTTTACCACATTCTCTATCTCTTTCTGTTTTCTTTTGCTTGTCTAAATCTTTTTTTTTTTTTTTTTTTTTTTTTTTGGGCGAATTCTTCTTTACATTTCCTTCGTTTTTTTTTTCATTTTGTGTTTGTCTCATATTTTTCCTTTTTTCTCTTATTTTTTCTCATACTTTCTCTTTTTCCCCTCTTTTTTTGTTTGCGTCATTATCTTTATTTTTCTCCTTTTTTTCTTTTGTTTTTGCTGTCGCATTCTTTTCTTCTTTTTTTTTTTTTTCGTTTTCTCCCACCTTTTGTGGCTCATTCTTTTCATTTTCTTCGTTTTTCTTTTAGTTTATCTTCTATTTTTCGTTTATTTTCTTTTTGTTTATCGCATTTTTGTGTGTGTTTTCATTTCTTTCATTTGTCTTCTTCATTTTCTTTTTCTTCTCTTTTTCTTTTACTTTTTCTTTGTCTATTTTCTTTTTCTTAGCGTACTCTTTTCTTTTTCTTTGTCTCCTTCATTTTCTTTTTTTCTCTTTTTCTTTTCTTCTTGTTTTTCTTATCCATTTTCTTTTTCTTTTCTTTCTCTTTTCTTTTTCTCTGTCTCCTTCATTTTCTTTTTCTTCTCTTTCTCTTTTATTCTTTCTTTGTCTCCTTCATTTTCTTTTTCTTCTCTTTCTCTTTTATTCTTTCTTTGTCTCCTTCATTTTCTTTTTCTTCTCTTTCTCTTTTACTTTTTCTTTGTCTCCTTCATTTTCTTTTTCTTCTCTTTCTCTTTTAAACTTTCTTTGTCTCCTTCATTTTCTTTTTCTTCTCTTTCTCTTTTACTCTTTCTTTGTCTCCTTCATTTTCTTTTTCTTTTCTTTCTCTTTTCTTTTTCTCTGTCTCCTTCATTTTCCTTTTCTTCTCTTTCTCTTTTCTTTTTCTTTGTCTCCTTCATTTTCTTTTTCTTCTCTTTCTCTTTTACTTTTTCTTTGTCTCCTTCATTTTCTTTTTCTTCTCTTTCTCTTTTCTTTTTTTCTGTCTCCTTCATTTTCTTTTTCTTCTCTTTCTTTTTTACTCTTTCTTTGTCTCCTTCATTTTCTTTTTCTTCTCTTTCTCTATTACTTTTTCTTTGTCTCCTTCATTTTCTTTTTCTTCTCTTTTTCTTTTACTCTTTCTTTGTCTCCTTCATTTTCTTTTTCTTCTCTTTCTCTTTTACTCTTTCTTTGTCTCCTTCATTTTCTTTTTCTTCTCTTTCTCTTTTACTCTTTCTTTGTCTCCTTCATTTTCTTTTTCTTCTCTTTCTCTTTTACTCTTTCTTTGTCTCCTTCATTTTCTTTTTCTTTTCTTTCTCTTTTCTTTTTCTCTGTCTCCTTCATTTTCTTTTTCTTCTCTTTTCTCTTTCACACTTTCTTTTGTCTCCTTCATTTTTTTTTTTCTTCTCTTTCTCTTTTTACTCTTTCTTTTGTCTCCTTCATTTTCTTTTTTTTTTCTTTCTCTTTTACTCTTTCTTTGTCTCCTTCATTTTCTTTTTCTTCTCTTTCTCTTTTACTCTTTCTTTGTCTCCTTCATTTTCTTTTTCTTTTCTTTCTCTTTTCTTTTTCTCTGTCTCCTTCATTTTCTTTTTCTTCTCTTTCACTTTTACTTTTTCTTTGTCTCCTTCATTTTCTTTTTCTTCTCTTTCTCTATTACTTTTTCTTTGTCTCCTTCATTTTCTTTTTCTTCTCTTTCTCTTTTACTCTTTCTTTGTCTCCTTCATTTTCTTTTTCTTCTCTTTCTCTTTTACTTTTTCTTTTGTCTTCTTTTCTTTTTTCTTTTTCTTTTTTTTCTTCTCTTTCTTTTTTTTTGTCTCCTTCATTTTTTTTTTTCTTCTCTTTCTCTATTACTTTTTCTTTGTCTCCTTCATTTTCTTTTTCTTCTCTTTCTCTTTTACTTTTTCTTTGTCTCCTCCTTTTCTTTTTTCTTTTCTTCTTTTTTTTTACTCTTTCTTTGTATCCTTCATTTTCTTTTTCTTCTCTTTTCTTTTTTACTCTTTCTTTGTCTCCTTCATTTTTTTTTTCTTCTCTTTCTCTTTTACTTTTTCTTTGTCTCCTTCATTTTTTTTTCTTTTCTCTTTTACTCTTTTTCTTTTTCTTTTTTCTTTTGTCTTTTACTCATTTTCTTTTTTTTTTTTTTTCTTTCTCTTTTTACTTTTCTTTGTCTCCTTCATTTTCTTTTCTTCTTCTTTTACTTTTTTGTCTCCTTCTTTTCTTTTTTACTTCTCTTTCTCTTTTCTTTTTCTTTCTTTTTTTCTTTTTCTTTTTTCTTTTTTTTCTTTTCTGTCTCCTTCATTTTCTTTTTTCTTCTCTTTCTCTTTTTTTTTTCTTTGTCTCCTTCATTTTCTTTTTCTTCTCTTTTTTTCTTTTCTTTTTTCTGTCTCCTTCATTTCTTTTTCTTTTCTTTCTTCTTTTCTTTTGTCTTTTTTTCTTTTTTTTTTTTTCTCCTTCATTTCTTTTTTTTTTTTTTTTCTCTTTTTTTTTCTCTTTGTCTCCTTCATTTTCTTTTTCTTCTCTTTTCTCTTTTATTTTTTCTTTTTCTCCTTCATTTTCTTTTCTTCTTTTTTACTTTTTTTACTCTTTCTTTGTCTCCTTCATTTCTTTTTTTTCTCTTTCTCTTTTTTTCTTTTCTTTGTCCCTTCATTTCTTTTTTTTTTCTTCTTTCTTTTCTTTTTCTTTCTCCTTCATTTCTTTTTGTCTCTTTCATTTTTCTTTTTCTTCTTTTCTTTTTTCTCTTTCTATTCTTTTCTTTGTCTCCTTCATTTTCTTTTTCTTTTCTTTCTTTCTTTTACTTTTCTTTGTCTCCTTCATTTTCTTTTTTCTTCTCTTTTTTTTACTTTTTTTTTGTCTCCTTCATTTTCTTTTTCTTCTCTTTCTTCTTTTCGTTTTTTCTTTGTCTCCTTCATTTTCTTTTTCTTCTCTTTTCTTTACTTTTCTTTGTCTCCTTTTTCTTTTCTTCTTTTTCTTTTTTTCTTTTTCTTTGTCTCCTTTTTTTTTTTTTTCTCCTTCATTTTACTTTTTTTTTCTCCTTTTTTCTTTTTTTCTTTCTTTTTACTCCTTTTGTTATCTTTTTTTCTTTTTTTTTCTCTTTTTTCTTTTCTTTGTCTCCTCCATTTTCTTTTTTTTCTCTTTCTTTTTACTTTTCTTTGTCTCCTTCATTTTCTTTTTTTCTTCTCTTTCTCTTTTTTTACTTTCTTTTGTCTCCTTCATTTTCTTTTTTCTTCTTTCTCTTTTACTTTTTCTTTTGTCTCCTTCATTTTCTTTTTCTTTTTCTCTTTTTACTTTTCTTTGTCTCCTTCATTTTCTTTTTTTTCTTCTTTCTCTTTTACTCTTTCTTTGTCTCCTTCATTTTCTTTTTTCTCTTTCTCTTTTACTCTTTCTTTGTCTCCTTCATTTTCTTTTTTTCTCTTTCTCTTTTACTCTTTCTTTTGTCTCCTTCATTTTCTTTTCTTCTCTTTTCTTTTTTTACTCTTTCTTTGTCCCTTCTTTTTTTTTTTTTTTCTTTTTCTTTTTTTTTTTCTTTTCTTTTATCTCCTTCATTTTTTTTTCTTCTCTTCCTTTTTTTCTTTCTTTGTCTCCTTCATTTTCTTTTTTCTTCTCTTTCTCTTTTCTTTCTTTGTCTCCTTCATTTTCTTTTCTTCTCTTTCTCTTTTACTCTTTCTTTGTCTCCTTCATTTTTTTTTTCTTCTCTTTCTTCTTTTATTCTTTCTTTGTCTCCTTCATTTTCTTTTTTCTCTTTCTTTTTTACTCTTTCTTTGTCTCCTTCATTTTCTTTTTTTCTCTTTCTCTTTTACTCTTTTCTTTTGTCTCCTTCATTTTTTCTTTTCTTCTTTTCTTTAATTTATTCTTTCTTTGTCTCCTTCATTTTTCTTTTTTTTCTCTCTTTCTCTTTTTCTCTTTCTTTGTCTCCTTCATTTTCTTTTTTTTCTTCTTTTCTCTTTTACTTTTTTTTGTCTCCTTCATTTTCTTTTTCTTCTCTTTCTCTTTTATTCTTTCTTTGTCTCCTTCATTTTCTTTTTTTTCTCTTTCTTTTTACTCTTTCTTTTGTCTCCTTCATTTTTTTTTTCTTCTCTTTCTTTTATTTTTCTTTTGTCTCCTTCATTTTCTTTTTTTTCTCTTTCTCTTTTTTCGTTTCTTTGTCTCCTTCATTTTCTTTTTTTTTTCTTTTTTTTACTCTTTCTTTGTCTCCTTCATTTTTCTTTTTTTCTCTTTCTTTTTATTTTTTCTTTGTCTCCTTCATTTTTTTTTTTCTTCTCTTTCTCTTTTACTCTTTCTTTGTCTCCTTCATTTTCTTTTTTTCTCTTTCTCTTTTACTTTTTCTTTTTGTCCTTCATTTTCTTTTTTTCTTCTCTTTCTCTTTTTACTTTTCTTTGTCTCCTTCATTTTCTTTTTTTCTCTTTCTTTCTTTTACTTTTTTTTGTCTCCTTCATTTTCTTTTTCTTCTCTTTCTCTTTTACTTTTCTTTGTCTCCTTCATTTTTTTTTTTCTTCTCTTTCTCTTTTACTCTTTCTTTGTCTCCTTCATTTTCTTTTCTTCTCTTTCTCTTTTTACTTTTCTTTGTCTCCTTCATTTTCTTTTCTTCTCTTTCTCTTTTTACTTTTTCTTTGTCTCCTTCATTTTCTTTTCTTCTCTTTCTTTTTACTTTTTCTTTGTCTCCTTCATTTTCTTTTTTTCTCTTTCTTTTTACTCTTTCTTTGTCTCCTTTTTTTTTTTCTTTCTTCTCTTTTTTTTTTCTTTGTCCCCTTTTTTTCTTTTTCTTCTTTTTTTTACTTTTCTTTGTCTCCTTCATTTTCTTTTTTTTCTCTTTCTTTTTACTTTTTTTTTTGTCTCCTTCATTTTCTTTTTTTTTCTCTTTCTCTTTTACTTTTTTCTTTTGTCTCCTTCATTTTCTTTTTTTCTTCTCTTTCTCTTTTTACTCTTTTCTTTGTCTCCTTCATTTCTTTTTCTTCTCTTTCTTTTTTATTCTTTTCTTTGTCTCCTTCATTTTTCTTTTTTTCTCTTTCTTCTTTTCTTTTTTTGTCTCCTTCATTTTCTTTTTTCTCTCTTTCTTTTTTACTTTTTCTTTGTCTCCTTCATTTTTTTTTCTTCTTTTCTTTTTATTCTTTCTTTGTCTCCTTCATTTTCTTTTTTTCTCTTTCTTTTTACTTTTCTTTGTCTTTTCCTTTTTTTTCTTTTTTTTTCTTTTTTTTTCTTTGTCTCCTTCATTTTCTTTTTCTTTTCTTTCTCTTTTACTTTTCTTTTTCTCCTTTTTTTTTTTTCATTTTTTTTTCTTTTCTTTTGTTTCTTCTTTTTCTTTTTTTTCTGTTTCCTTTATTTTTTTTTTTTCTTCTCTTTCTTTTTTTCTCTTTCTTTGTCTCCTTTGTTTTCTTTTTTTCTTTTCTTTCTCTTTTACTCTTTCTTTGTCTCCTTCATTTTCTTTTTCTTCTCTTTCTCTTTTCTTTTTTTCTGTCTCCTTCATTTTCTTTTTCTTCTCTTTCTTTTTTACTCTTTCTTTGTCTCCTTCATTTCTTTTTCTTCTCTTTCTCTTTTATTCTTTTCTTTGTCTCCTTCATTTTCTTTTTCTTCTCTTTTCTTTTACTCTTTCTTTGTCTCCTTCATTTTCTTTTCTTCTCTTTCTCTTTTACTCTTTTCTTTGTCTCCTTCATTTTCTTTTTTTTCTTTTTCTTTTACTCTTTCTTTGTCTCCTTCATTTTCTTTTTCTTCTCTTTTCTCTTTTATTCTTTTCTTTTGTCTCCTTCATTTTCTTTTTTCTTCTCTTTCTCTTTTACTTTTCTTTTGTCTCCTTCATTTTCTTTTTTTTCTCTTTCTCTTTTACTCTTTCTTTGTCTCCTTCATTTTCTTTTTTCTTCTCTTTCTCTTTTTATTCTTTCTTTGTCTCCTTCATTTTCTTTTTTTCTTCTCTTTCTTTTACTCTTTCTTTTTCTCCTTCATTTTCTTTTTTCTTCTCTTTCTTTTTTTCTTTTTTTTGTCCCCTTCATTTTCTTTTTTTTCTCTTTCTTTTACTCTTTCTTTATCTCCTTCATTTTCTTTTCTTCTCTTTTCTTTTTTTTACTCTTTCTTTGTCTCCTTCATTTTTTTTTTCTTCTCTTTCTTTTTATTCTTTCTTTGTCTCCTTCATTTTCTTTTTTCTTCTTTTCTTTTTTTTGTCTCTCTTTCTTTGTCTCCTTCATTTTTCTTTTTCTTCTTCTTTCTTTTTATTCTTTCTTTTTACTCCTTCATTTTTTTTTTCTTCTCTTTCTTTTTACTCTTTCTTTGTCTCCTTCATTTTCTTTTTTTTCTTCTCTTTCTTTTTTACTCTTTCTTTGTCTCCTTCATTTTCTTTTTTCTTCTCTTTCTCTTTTCTTTTTTTTTGTCTCCTTCATTTTCTTTTTTCTTCTTTTCTCTTTTACTTTTTCTTTGTCTCCTTCATTTTCTTTTCTTCTTTTCTTTCTCTTTTTTTATTCTTTCTTTGTCTCCTTTCATTTCTTTTCTTTTTCTTTCTCTTTTTTTTTCTTTCTTTGTTGTCCTTCATTTTCTTTTTTTTTCTCTTTCTTTTTTTACTCTTTCTTTGTCTCCTTCATTTTCTTTTTTCTTCTCTTTCTCTTTTCTTTTTCTCTGTCTCCTTCATTTTTTTTTTTTCTTTTCTCTTTTAGTCTTTCTTTGTCCCCTTCATTTTCTTTTTTTTTCTCTTTCTCTTTTTTACTCTTTCTTTGTCTCCTTCATTTTCTTTTTTTTTTCTTTCTTTTTTCTTTTCTCTGTCTCCTTCATTTTCTTTTTTTTTCTTTCTCTTTTTTCTTTCTTTGTCTCCTTCTTTTTTTTTTTCTTCTCTTCTTCTTTTTTACTCTTTCTTTGTCTCCTTCATTTTCTTTTTTTCTCTTTCTCTTTTTTACTCTTTCTTTGTCTCCTTCATTTTCTTTTTCTTTTCTTTCTCTTTTCTTTTCTCTCTGTCTCCTTCATTTTCTTTTCTTCTCTTTCTCTTTTACTTTTTCTTTTGTCTCCTTCATTTTTTTTTTTTTTTCTCTTTCTCTTTTTACTCTTTCTTTGTCTCCTTCATTTTCTTTTTTTTTCTCTTTTCTATTTTACTCTTTCTTTGTCTCCTTCATTTTCTTTTTCTTCTCTTTCTCTTTTACTCTTTCTTTATCTCCTTCATTTTCTTTTTCTTCTCTTTCTCTTTTACTTTTTCTTTGTCTCCTTCATTTTCTATTTCTTCTCTTTCTCTTTTCTTTTTCTTTGTCTCCATCTTTTTTCTTCTCTTTCTGTTTGCTTTTGTTTATCTCATTCCTTTTCTTTTTCTTCGCTTTTTCTTTTTCTTATTCTCTTCTTTTTTTGTCGCATTCTTTTTCATTTTATACATTTTTTCTGTTTTTCATTTTATATTTTTCTCATGCTTCTTCTTTTTTTTTCTATTCTTGTTTTATTTGCCGAATTCTTTTGCCTGGTCTTCGTTTTCTTCCTTTTTTTTCCATTTTGTCTTTGTTGTCCATTCTTTTTCACTCGTCTCATTCTTTTTTTTTTTCTTTTTTTACTCTTCTTGCCTGTTCTTTTTCTTTTTCCCTTTCTCTTTAAATTTTGTTTCCGAATTTTTTCTTTTTTTTTTCTTTTCTTCTTTTTCTTGTCTGCTTCCTCATTTTTTCTTTCATTTTTCGTTCCTTTGTCTTTTTATTCGATATCGGTTTTTTTCCTGCCTTCTTCCTTTTTTTCCTTCGTTCTAATCTCTTTTACATGTCGCTTCTTCGGCATCTTACTTCTTCTTTTAATCTTCATATTTTTCTACTTTTCTTTATTCTTTTTGATCTCGTTTTTTTATTTCGTCATCATACCCTTTCTCTTGTTTTCATTTCCCTCTTTCTTTTTCATTCAGTTTTCTTTTGTTTCTACTTCCTGTGTTTTTTTCTTCGTTTTTCATTCCTCTGTTTTTACATTTAATATCGTTTTTTACCTTTCTGGTGTAAAGTTAATACCCAAAAATTTTGTGGAGAAAATTGGAAGACCGAAATTAAGGAGAACCAATCTGCGATTGAAACAATTTGACGGGTCAGTTATTAAAACACTCGAATGCTTTGAGGGATATTCGAAACGAAGACTCGATTCAAGATAATATTAAACATAGTTGTGAAGTGCATAAAAGATCATGGTCACTTGGGGGTTGACGTATTAAAAATAGACACCTCAAAGTTAATTAATTGCACGAAACTAGAAGAACCTGAGATTGGAATTTAAATGATTACGAGGCGAGTGTTCGGCTCAAAGAAAATAGCCAACCGGTATATTTTCAGTCTCATAAATTCCCTCTTCACCTCTTGCCCGTGGTTATGGCGAAACTTAATAAAACGATTGAACAAAGAATATTGGAGAATGTTAGTCGAGGAGGTAAGAATTGGGTTTCCTCAATCGTGGTCACACGGAAAACCAATGAAGATTTAAAGATCTGTGGAGATCACCAGATATGTTCGGACTCCTTCCCATTTCCAAATTATAAAATGGCCTGTCACGAGTTTGCTGGCATTAATATTTTTGCCAAGATTGATCTGGAATCTGCATATTATCAGATTAAAATTGATGACCATTTTCAAGAAGTCACCACGATAAGCACTCCTATAGGTCTTTTAAGGTGGATTCGTCTGCCGTTTGGAATTACAACATCCAGCCACAGACTCCAAAAGAATAGAAAGAGGGTTTTGGTTTGAGTAAAAAAAAAACATCATTCTCTATCAGGGTGACTTAAGTATTGGCGCTCGTACTGAGAAGGAGCCAGAAAATAAAAAGGAACAGTTTCTGTGCAGATTGAGAAATAACAATTAATCGAGATGAGTGTAAATTTAATTGTGAGAAAATTTCATACGTGGGGTAGCAAATATCTAAAGATGGGATCTTGCCAGATCACATAGGTATTAGCAAAATATGAGAACACCAAAAAATAAAAAAGAGTTAGAATCTTTCTTGGGTTTCATTAACTCTTATAATAAATATATACCTTGATATAGCGACATGATAGAACATTTTGCGAACTTGAAAAAGAGTAATGAATTTCAGCGGACTGAAAGACAGGAGGCGGCCTTCAAAAAGCTAAATAAAAACACTTAGAAACAAGCCAGCAGTTAAAGTGTTTGACCCGACAATAGAACTGGCACTAGCTACTGATGCTAGCAAACGTGTCATAGCAGCGATCTTATCACAAGAGGGACATTCTGATATGTATTTGTCTAGAAAGCTAACGACAGCGGAGACGAATTATTCTAACATTGAAAAAGAAGCGCTGGCACTTTTCTGAAAGATTGCGCAATTTATTATTAGATAAGAAATGTTTACTAAAGTCGGATCACAAGCCTTTAGAGTTCATTTTCAACCTGAAGAAAAAGTTGTCTAAAGTTACGTGGTCCAGAATTTTGAGGTGAGCGATTAATCTTATGGCATTCGATTTCGACATTATGTATAGTAAAGAAAAAAGGAAATGCCATTCCACAGGTAGACGCCTTGTCACGATTGAATTTTAATACATAGGATGATGAAACAAAGGACAGTTGTGAGGACAGAATTTTGCACTGAGTAGAGACAGATGTGTTTTCCTTCAGGCGGCTAAATTTGAAACCAAGCAGGATTCTATATTAAAAAGAGTACTGAATAGAATAAATAATAATATATGGAGCAATTGCTCTATGAAGGGAAGGCCTTTTAAAGAAGCAAGGCACAGATTGACAATTGAAAGAGGAGTCATATATAGTGGAGATCTTATTGTACTACCGAAATCGTTAACAAAAGATGTTATTAAAGCAGTACACGACAACATATATGGAGGTGTATTGAACACACAATTGAGGTTGGAACTACAAGCCTGGTGGCCGGAGTATACACGAGACGTGGAAGATTATATCAGAAAATGCTCTAAGTGTGCAAAGATAAAGATATTTAGGAAAGCCAAGATTCAAATTTGGACAAAAGAGAAGAAGCCATGCATAAGAATACACATGGATCATGCATACATTAAAGATGTAGGACTATTTCTCATACTAGCAGACTCATATTCAGGTTGGCCCGAAGTGGTTAAAGATTCGGACAGAAAAGCAAGTACTGTAAAACAGGTGTTAAGAGTAGTATTTTCGAAAACGGAGTACCTAAGACATTGGTGTCAGATAATTCACGAGAGTTTTCCTGAAGAAAGCTTGTGTACATGTTTAGCACGAATTGGATGCAGGCCATACAAAACACGCCCATAACATCTTCAGTCAAATGGAATTACGGAGAGGATGGACCAGACGATAAAAGTCGGATTGAAAGCATTCCCTCCAGGAAATTTCAGCCTAGAAAGTTATCTACCAAGATTGCTTTTAAGATACAAGACCATCCCGCATGTGGGTAGAACAAAAAAACCTCTCGGCAATGATGGGGAAGCAAATTAGAGCCCCAATATGTTACAGTTTTTTGTGTATATGTATGATTGTATATAACTAGTGAGCGAGTCAAAATGACTCAACTCGATTTATAGTCCACCAATAGAAAGTTAACCAATCAGTAGCCGCAGAACATTGTAAATGTCGTGTATAAAGGCAGACATCTTTGTTTACCCTACCGGAAAGACCAATGCCAACTTGACAGGCGAACATGATAGAAGGAAGAACTACGCTCTTTGCTACGATATCCACTGCGAACCTGAACTACGCTTTCCTACTGTCTCCGAAATATTCACTGCCAACCTCTGGATTCTATACTCGAAAACGACTGTCAAAACAATATCCATGTCTTTCTCAACAAATGAGAATGTATGGGACAAAAGGAATGATTCGAATCCTGAGAAAGCACAATCCAAATGAAGAAAAACCCATAAAAAGGATTTTAGGCAATCACCGTGAGACAAGCGGTACTACGTGGCTCGTAGAAATAGTAATAGGGAATAAAGCGTCTAAGGTTCCAGGAGATGTGGTGATTAGATTATATATAAATGTGAAGAAGTGGAGTTATCTTTCCTTGACTACACCTCGTACTTGTGAGAACAGTACACGACACAACAGTTTCCTTCTTTAAATCAAGATTGCTCGACGTGACCCATAGGGCCCTCTTGTGGGCCATGAGATATTTCCAGGGGCAACAAGTGGGGGCATGAAGGGGCACAAAAAATTTAGGACCCACAAAATATATATATATGGAGTATTTTGTAATTAATAATTAATATTTAAAATAAAATATAAAATTTATTATTAAGTTAAATATTAAATTAATCAATGCCATTTTGTTAACATAAATATTTATTTATTGTAATTTTTTTCATTTAATCTATGCAAAATGGCTGTTTTTTGTTTTCGATTTCTTAAAATTTAAAACTCATAATTCAAAGTTTACATTAAGGTATGTTTTCACCAGCTTCTCTTTCAATTTTGAAAAAAAAAAAAAAAGAATAAACAAAGAGCTCCAAGGAAATGACTCCAACCTGTTTTACTGCAAGGAGGCAATTGACGTATTTAACGGGAAAGTAAAGCTGTTTTAGTTGAACCTTGGGAGACGGGAGTTTACGCAGTTTCCTTCCTAAGTAAATATATCCAGCGAGGTGTTTGATGATCACCTAGCAATGTATGTTGATCATTTGAAGCTGTTGCATAATGATATGAAAACTCGCTTTTCGGATCTACTCCAAATGACAGTGCTGCACTGGTTTGTAGATCCCTTCATTGCTGATGCATCTGAAGTTGATATCACCCTACAAGATAGTTTCATTGAACTTCAAAATAGCACAGCAGCTCAAGCGAGGTTCAAGCTGTGGATGAATAAAGACATGCATAAGAATTACCCACTACTCTGAAAAGGTGTGAAGTTGATCTTACTCGCTTTTTTCCACATCTTACTTGGTTGAGTTTGGTTTCAGTAGGATGATGCATCTGCTGTCGAAAAATCGAAATCACCTTGACGTAGAAAAAAATGGCGAATTACGTCTCTCTCTGACGGCTTTCAAGTCAAACATTGTCAATTTGGAGCACGGTGGAGTAATGGATAGCGGCTTGGATTGAGGAATCGGAGAGCCGAGTTCGAATTCCAGTCGAATCCATTACATTCACTTACGTGCTAACAACCTTGGGAAAGGTGTGAATTCTCTTTCTTCTCCCTCCAGCTATGGGTAAATAGCAGGACAGACTGGGTTCTATAGCCTTGGATGGCAACTGGTGTAGGAGAAGGGAAACTCTGAATTCAAACCTAGGAAGAGGGTAAATGAAGTCTCTCTGAGCCTTGGTTGGCAATCCATTTAGTGTTGGTGTCACGATAAAAACACCCTTGATAGCCCTAGCGAAGCATCAAGAATTCAGCGACTTACAAGATTATGAACTACACCAATCAAAGTATTGGTGAGTTCAATCTCGGCTGAGGCCGCAAGATGATGATGACACCGATTACAGGGATTCCATTTAAACCATACAAAATAGAGGTGAAAATATATGTATTTGTAAATAAATGTGTTTATTCAAATAAAATATTTATCCAAATAATATTATTCTTTGATTTATAACTGGAGTTAGTGATGCCATAGTACTATTCAAACTGTAACTTTTAATATTCCTACTTCCCTAGATGTATTAAGTTGAGTGATGGTCGGGATGGAGGAGGGAGATAAGAACTCAAGTTGGTATGAAGGAGCCATGAAGAACTCGCATTGGATTGGAGGGATCCACGACCAGAATAAGGTTGAGAAACATCGTTTTAAATTTTACTTCATTGTCGTATATTTTATCGTCTGCTTTTTCGTCATCTTCATCATTTACTTCGTCCATTTTTTTAAAGTCATTTTCTTTTCTATTTTTCCTTCTCTTTCTTCAATTTCTCGTTCTTTTTTCCTTGTTATATTTTTTTCTTGATTTTCTTCTTCTATTTCATCTACATCCTCGTCGTTTCATACTTATTTTCTTTTTATTCCTTCCATTCGTATTGTAAATTGCAGGTGACGTAAGCGGCTTATCTCCTTAAGCCAGACTATGTATTCGTAAATAGATAAAAATGTACCAATTCTTGTCGCCTGAAAACCAAATTTAAGCAGCTTCATACCTGTCCAATACCTAAAAAGGGTTAACATTTATGGCTGCGATCGAGACAAAACAACGATTGATAAATAAACAAAATCAATGGGATTTACCTTGAAAGCCGATTAATATATCGGTCGAACTCTTTGTGATAAAAAGAACGAAAAGTATCGAATAGATGTCTCTAAGTATATATAAGATCTCATAGCCTCAACATTGAATCGAATCGTGTGCTACAACAACTTCAATCAACCAATAGTTTTTCCGACTATTGGCATCATTTATTTATTTATACTTATTTAGTTCTATATACAGAATGTCTGTGGTTGATTTTGTTTAGTGGCATATCAACACATCTATGGGTTATTTAATCCCGGAATCTAAATATTTTGAACACAATTTTATGGCTTCAACCACAGATAAACTGTATAGACGGTATTTTTACTACAAAAATTCCTACATTTTTATAGAGTTGGTTTTTTTTTTTGTTTGGAAGTTCACTATTTCTCCAGAGCTGGGACCCCCCCCACCTAACAGGTGCTACCATACCGGGTCGAAGTGGACCTGGGAATAACAGCAATAAGAGGTGGTTCCATACTCCTCAAAACCCCTAACCCGATCTAACGCCTTGCTGCCGGGTGTAGTTTATCATCATACCCAGGACTATCTGTAAACAGAAAAATCTATTAGAAACAAAGGGGTACTGAACTGTTATGTAATATCAGTCCTCTTGTATGGTAGTGAATGTTGGGCAATCTCCTCATCGACGAAGAGGAGACTAGAGGCAACAGAAATGTGGTTCTACAGGAGGATGCTGAGAATACCATGGATTGAATATGTAAGCAACGACGAAGTTCTAGTGACAGTCGAAATTTCTAAGGCATCTAATGAGAAAAGAAGGACTGGAAAATAACATACTCACAGGAATGTTTGAAGGCAAGAGTTACAATTGTAAACAACACATAACTTATTTAGTGATCTTGATTGAATGGATGGCAGGGCAAGGTTTAGGAGAAATAACAAAATAACTAAATTTATTAAGGACTACAAAGGACCGGAAATTGTGGAGAGCCATGATCGCCTACATCATGACGGGACACGGCACATACAAGAAGAATGAGCTTGAGTAAATGGATGGCAGGGCAAGGTTTAGGAGAAATAACAAAATAACCAAATTTATTAAGAGCTACAAAGGACCGGAAATTGTGGAGAGCCATGATCGCCTACATCATGAAGGGACACGGCACATAGAAGAAGAAGAATGGGATTGAGTAAATTGATGGCAGAACACGATTTAGGAGAAATAACAAAAGACAAAATTTATTAAGGGCTACAAAGGATAGGGCATTTTCGGGAGCCATGATCACTTACGTCCTGAAGGGACACGGCACAACGAAGAAGAAGAAGAAGAAGAAGAAGAAAATATTTCGACCTACCAATTATGTTTCCTTCAGCGTAAAATCCACGTGACAAGAGAAAGTGTATCACTTTTGTAAAGGTCGTGTTGCCATTTTTTGTCATTCAACCTTATTCAAGGCAGTAAAGCCACTAAGATACAAGGGTTTACTGATTTTGAATGAATTAGAAAAGAGAAACATTATTAATGATCGAGAACAATAGAAGAGTAAGAAAAAGGCTGCAGATAACGACTGATATTGCATTTAATTTGTTCGTCAATAAAAACAGATAGGTTCGCCTATCACCCGGGTTACACTTCTCCCCCGTTTTTTGAACAGAAGTAGAGATTTATCCCTTGTTTCCCTTTTTAGGATTGAATTTCTGGTTCCTTCGGGAGTCTTCCCAATCTCGTTCTCCTCCACTCCAGGGGTGCCTTCGCATCTTGGAATGAATTGATTAAAAAAGGACACTATTTGGATGAAAATATCTGCTGGTCCACCAGATAAAACAAAGCACATAAATTTAACTGTCTGAAAGGTTTTTTAAAAGATGGTGGAAATTATGATGCAAACATCAGAAAACATACTGGAACAGTAAAAATGCCTTCCAGAAACTAAGCAATATATTAAGAAACAAGAGAATTTCGTAGGAAACAAAGATAACAGTGCTCAACTACTACGTAATATAAATCCACCTAGATAGCAACAAATGTCGGAGAATTTCTTCACAGATGAAGAGAGTTGAGGCAACAAAGGTGTGTCTCTACAGAAGGATGATGAGAATAACATCGACGGAACATGTGAGCAAATATTTTTTTTAAGAAAATGGAAATGAAAAGGACACTTATATTTCACATCAGAAAGAGACAGTTGAAAATTCTGGGAAAATATGAGGAAAGGAGGTTTGGAGAATCAAACACTCAGAGAACATATCGAAGGCAAGAATGGCGGAGAGAACAACTAGTAAAATGCCTAAAATGCCTGTGTAAATGGAAGGCAGAGCTTGAATACTGAGGAATAGTAAGGGGAAAAATATTACTAAGAGCTGAAAGAGTATGAAGTTGTGGAGAGCCTTATTAGCCCCCTACGCTGAAGAGATACGGTATATAAAAGATGCAGAAATTTTAATTTAAAAAACAAATGTTATCTATCTATCTAGCTCTCTCTCTCTCTATCTCTCTCTCTCTCTCTCTCTCTCTCTCTATCTATCTATCTATCTATCTATCTATCTCTCTATATATATAGTTTTAAGATGGGCTATATTTATGGGATGAATTGCTCAATATCAGAGATAGAGCGTATGTAAATATAAATATATGTGTCATTGAACGAAAACAGACTGTCTCTAAGGCGACAGTTTATGTTCACTTTTATATTTACACACGCCTATCTCTGATATTGAGTACTTTTATCCCATAAATATAGCCCATCTTAAAAAACTATATATATATATATATATATATATATATATATATATATATATATATATATATATAGCACACCTTAAGACTATATTTCTTCATATATGTATATGTATGTATTTACGCCCAGTGAAGTAGGGGATAGTTGATCGGATTGAGGAATCGGAGTGCCGAGTTCGAATTCTTGTCAAATCCATTAAATTCACTTATGTGCTAATACCCTTGGGAAAGGTGAGAATTCTCTTCTACTCCCTTCAGCTATGGGTAAATGGCAGAAAAGACTGGGATCTATAGCCTTGGATGGTTACTGGTCTAGAAGGACAACTCTGAATTCAAAACCTGCGGAGGGTCGTTTGCGGACCTTGGATTGTATTGAGCCCTATTTTAAATTAATGTTATGAACGTTTTAATTTATATTTGATTCGTTCTCTATTTCATATATATATATATATATATATATATATATATATTATTGCTATCTCGCTCTCTCTCTCTCTCTCTCTCTCTCTCTCTCTCTCTGTGTCTATAGATAGATAAATAGATAGATACCTCTCTATCTATCGATCCATCTCTACATAGCTATCTTTCTGTCTATCTAGCTATTTGTCAATCTATCTATATCTATCTCTATTTAGCTATCGCCCTCTCTCTCTCTCTCTCTCTCTCTCTCTATATATATATATATATATATATATATATATATATGTAGATAGCTCTCTCTATCTATCAATCTATCTATATGCATCATCTAAATATCTAGATGTATATTTATATATCTATCTGTGTCTATCAGGTCATCCCATAAGTTCTGTCCGAATTTTGAATAAAGAAAACAAGTGATCAAATGTTACATTTAATTACAGATTCAATCAACAATGTATTTCCCCTGATTATCTATGACTTCCTTCCATCTATTAACAAGCTTACTAATTCCATTACTGTAAAATTCTTTTGGCTTTGATTCGAAGAAGTCACAAATGTCAGTTTTAACCTCTTCCTGTCTTACAAAAGCTGTTTCTTCCAAATGATTCTGTGATCTACAAAACAAATGTTAGTCTGAAGGAGCAAGATCGGGAGAATAAGGTGGATGAGCAATTTTCTCCCAACCAAGTTCTTCGATCTTTGTGACGCGATTCTTGCTGTGTGTGGTCACCTCTTTTCGATTCACTAGTTCAGGTCTTTTTTTCCTCAAAGCTTGGTTCAAACGCTCTAATTGCTGACAGTATATTTCAGCATTAATTGTTGCATTAGGTGGTAAGAATTCAAAGTGGATTATTCCTTGGCGATCCCACCAGATTGAAAAAAGAACCTTTTGCCCATGAAGTTCCCTTCTCGGCTGTGGCTAGGGTCCTTTCTCTTTACCAAGCCACTGTCTACGGCGCTTAACAATTCGATAAAAGATCCATTTTTCGTCTCCAGTCACAAGTCTATCCAAAAAAAATGAAACAAGTTGGCGAGAATGGTGAGAAGAGCAGATGTCAACTCGGGATTTGAGGTTGTTTTCAGACAATTCATGAGACACCAATTTTCCAAGTTTATGAACTTTTCTAAGTTGTTGAAGATGACGATGAACAGTTGTATGGTTTGAACTGAGAACCACTGCCAATTCCTCAACTGAAAAAGCAGGATTTTTTCAAGGGCTGCTTCAAGAAGCTTTTCATCAAACTCAACTGGACGTCCGGTTTGATCTTCAACTTCGAGGGTGAAATCTCCACCTCTGAATTTTGCAAACCATCTTCTTCAAGTTCTTTCATTCACACATTCCTCTTCATAAACTGAGTGAATGTTTCTAGCCGCTTCGGCTGCTGAGTTTCCTTTCTTGAACTCATAAAGCATTATGTGCCTGAAATGATTCTTGGGTACTTCCATGTTAGCAGGGTTTTAATCAAACAAAATTTAATTTTATTGTTCTCTGAAATAAAATTTGATCAGTTTAAATGCATCTAAACATAAAAATAATGTTCAGCTCTATTGGACATTATAAAATACTCTTTAAATTTCGTTCATTTTAACAAAAAGTTAAAATTCAGACAGAACTTATGGGATGACCTGATATCTCGCTATCTATCTATCCCTCCCTTTCCTTCTCTCTCTCT